GCCTGACCCAGCTCCGCTCCCAGCCTGCTCGCCGGCCCCACATCCTCCTCCCGGGGCGCTGGCCCCGCTCTTTGAAGTGGTGCCTGCGGCCGGGGGCAGTTTACGGGGTGGAGCTGCAGCGTAGGCTGCGCTTTATCCTGCTGCGCCTTGCAAAGCGCCTGGCTTGAGAGTCCGGAGTCAGACTGGGGAGGCAGGAAGGTCGCCCCTTACCCAGGGACCGGGGGTCCCCTTGCCCGCAGCAGGGAGAACCGCGCCTCCAGGCAGGAGGCCCCTGGAGCAGTGGGAATGGAAGCCTCAGAGAAGGCCCAGGGCAAAGCAGCTGCCCATGAGCGAGGGCCAGTGGTGCCCAGCTCCAGCTCTGCTCTGCAGAGGGAGGAAAAACTCCCTGAGGCTCCTGGGTGCATCCATGGAGGCCCTGGGTGTCGCGGAGCCCGGAGGAGCTGGTGGCCGTGGCTGTACCCGGGAAGCGCAGGGCGGCAGCGCGTGAGCAAGGCGAGGAGTTGTTATTTATTGATTAAAAGCGAAGCCGCGATGAGCAATCCGGTATTTGCAGAAATGACCTCCGGGAAGCAGGGCTGAGTGGGGAGGGGGAAGAGAGGCTCTTGCTGGAGGCCGGGATGAGAGGATGAGTCACTGTCAGGATGGCCTGCGAATATCCTGATCCCCAAGGCTGCTGATTAACCGTTCAGCAACCGTGGGGAGGGCAGGCACACACTGGCGGGCCCAGCAGACCCGCGTGCCCGCTCGGGAGCGAGGCAGCATGGGCATGAATGGAGACCGCGGCTATTACATAAACTATACATTTCATTCCCATGTGATGGTGGAGGAGCCAGGGAAGGCGAAGAGATATTCCAAACAGAGCAATGTAGGAGCCAGGAAAATGAGTTCGGGATCGGGGGAGCCAGTTGCTCGCTGGCTCTTTGCCCCACGTCAGTAATGAACCCTCTGCAGTTTGTTCTTCCCCACGTCCCGTTGTGCCGGGCAGGCGCTGGGTCGAGGTGGGAAGGGCACAGGTGCTGCGCACCGGGTGCTGCCAAATGCACTTCCCAGTCTTTCTGCAATGGGAAAACCTTCCCGTCACAGACGGCAGGGTCCAGACCAGGCCGCGGGGACCCCGCGGTTGGGCTCTGTTCGGGCCATGGCAGCACGTCATGCGCAGCGCTCCGGACGGTCCCTGGGGGCCCTACCTGGCGCTCGAGCTGTGAGCACAGCCCGTGGCAGACACGCAGCCCCTGGGTGGCTTTTCGGGCCACGGGGGCTACCTGCCGTCCCTCCCGCGCAGCCGGGGGAGCGCGGGCTTGTGCGCAGCGGCATCTTCCTCGCGGCAATTTGGCCGAGGACAAACTTCGAGTAACAACGCGGTAATAGGATTAATTCCTTTTCATTAGCCATGCGACTGCAGCACTTAGCCAGGCAGAAGAGCCCGTATGGGGCTATTCAGCTGTCAGGAGCTGTCGCAGGATTTCATTACGTTTTATAGCTGTTATTCAATAGACTGGTTTCGGTGGGACTGTCTTCATTAGTTTGCTGTCTTGAACACAGTGGTGATTAATGACACTTTTGCAAGCACCCCCTCTGGTGCTCCTGCTCCATTCAAAAATGCAAATAAACACTTTGGTGTTGTTTTCAATGTATATAGTAAAGAGGATGAACACTGCACATAAAAATCCCTATCTTGAATGCTTGAACTAATGCTCACATATAAAACACGGGGGTGGGAGGTGGGTCCCATCAGCCCAGTTAATGTGTGCTAGACTCAGCAGATTTACATTTGCTAACGGTTTTAATCAGTATCCATCAGCTTTTAGCAAGTTAATAATTGCCAGCTGTATTGGAGGTTTCTTAGGGTGCCAGAGGCTTGCAAGCAAAGCTGCATTTCCAGGGCTCCGTGATCTCCCTTAGTCCCCAGGGGCTGCTCATGAGGAGCTTTGTTTTTGCTCTCTTTTCATGAAGGCAATTTTTGGAAACACAAACCTTTGTATTTCTTTCTCTCGTCTTCCCTAGGGGGGTATGAAACCTTTAATTCGCAATATCCTGAGTGCTGTGTGGATGGGAAGCTCCTTTCCCCGGAGAGAAGCGACACGGAGAGGAGCACGGCCAGCCCCGGCGTCCCCCCCAAGCCGGCCTACGACCAGGTGTGTGTCCCGGGCACTGCATCCTGCGCCGGCCTCCATCCTGCCCTGGAAAAGTGCCGGTGCCGGAGGCTTTTCCCAACCCCAGGGCCTTCTGCGGGCAAGTCCCAGTGGTGGCACTTCTGGCACTGGAGAACCCCACGATGCCCCGGCTTGCTGTCGTGGCACCTTCCTGGCATGTGGGGCCGAGTGGGTCGGGGTGGTGGGAGCATCATGGAAAGTTACCTGCCGCGCTGAAACGCTGATGTCAACCGGCGGCGCCTCTTTCCTTTGTGCTTTTTTTTTTTTTTTTTCCTCTTTTCGTGGTTTTGTCATTGGGCCTTTTCTTGCTTTGCGAAAGCAGGAACTGAGACGACGTGTGCGGCAGGAGGGCGGGCGGCCCCGCGTGGGTGTCACGTCTGGGGGGGTCCCCAAGCGTCCCAGCCCGGGGCAATGCGCCCACGCGGGCTCCGAGGCAGAGATATTCACCTCACACCCTCCTGCTCCTTCTCTTCCAGGGCGGCCCGGTGGAAATCCTGCCTTTCCTCTACCTCGGCAGTGCCTACCACGCTTCCAAGTGCGAGTTCCTGGCCAACCTGCACATCACAGCCCTACTCAACGTGTCTCGGAGGAGCTCGGAGCCCTTCACGGACCAGTACTGCTACAAGTGGATCCCGGTGGAGGACAGCCACGCGGCCGACATCAGCTCCCACTTCCAGGAGGCCATCGACTTCATCGGTAGGTGCTCCAAACCCGCCGGCCAGCGCGCAGAGGGCTTCCCTAGCGGAAAGGCACACAGGGTGGTTTTTTTGCTCTTCAAAATACATAAATAAACAAAAGGGTTTCCTAACACATTTCTGGGCCTTCATATAGATTGATTTTAAACTTTAAGAACTGTATCAGGAGGAGACCCGCTCCCCTTATTGCAGACCTGTTTCCATTTCTCACGCCAGCAGCTCACCCCTTGACTAAAGGTTCTGCTGCAAAACTGCGGCAAAACCCATAGCGACCCTCAGTCCCCGTTTATGGCTGTGTTTGCACTCACCCACCAAGAGCAGCGATTGCCTCAAGGGTGGTCTCCTAGCCTGTTCTCTTCCCAGTAAAAAACTTGTTTCAGTTTTCAGGGAAACGCTAATTCATAGGAGTTTTCTGCCTTGTCCCCATCCTCTCCTTATAGTCATTGAGTCACTTGGAAAACCCCCAAAAATGTTGAGGGTGGTTTTAGTTTTCACTTTTTCTTTTGAAGTGGGCTGTGGCGTGGGTGCTCATGATGACTCAGATCCAGGTCTTCCTTATTTTGAGCAGCAGTCAAACAAAGTGGCCCTGGTGGCACCAGCCCCTGCCCGCGGTCAGAGACTGGCGAGCGATACCATGCTCGGCGCCGCCGCCCTTCATCCCAGTGCTCCATGAATTG